GTACGCTACCGAGAGAAACAAAACTACAAAACTTACTAGCATATCGCAAACAAGCCACAGAATTGCTTCGGTTGTGAAGTTTTCTTTTTTATATTATGTCGTATCGCTCTGGACAAAGTTCCCTGTTGTGCAATGCACCCGTTTAAAACTGCGAAGCTATAAACAGGTGCTTTCAGGGCTGAGCTGTAACCCTATTTTAGTTAAAGAAGATCTAAAGCGTACACAATCTTTTTTACATATGGGCTGGTAAGAGAGGTGGACCTTTCAAATAAAAGAGAGTGGAATAGCCCTAAATTATTCAGAGCAAAGTGAAAACTTGATGAGGAAATTGGTATATTTGTTGGTGGGTAAAATGAGTTTCAGTAACAATATATAAACATAAAAACGTTTTCTCTGAGCTTCAATTCGCTTTGTGCTTAGTAACACCATATTTATAACACGTGGGTGCTTCCGCGAATTTCTCAATTGAAAGACTGTCCACTAGAAAGACATTAAAAAAAGGCTGCACATGAAAGCCGTGCAGCACCTAACAAGCTCACTGGAAACGTCAGCTTTTATACTATTTAGCTTCAGTGGACGCGGTGTTCTCTTTTCTCTTCATGCGGCAACTCGGGACGAATAAAATACCACTGCAGAACAGCAATTAATTATTGCTTGATAAAGTGGTTGCAATTAGCTCGGTAATTGGTGGACGGCCACGAACGCCACAACAGCACCACAAAACGACGTTCTCTCACACACAAAAAAGAAAATTTGTAGCAATTGAAAAAAGAAGCTACTGTTGTACCTACCTAAAATTTCGCCGATGCCTAACTGGGCTCGTATTCACCAAAACGTCTTACTATCAATATTTCAGTGAGCATATTTCAACCTATTCCAAAGCGAGGCACCTCATTAGCAAAGCCAGCCGACCAAAGGGAAAAAGCGCTTACAAAGGAGAAGATATGTGAAAAGGGCCCCTATAGCCCCGCACTCACAAAAACATACTTCCGCTAATGCAGTCCTGAGGAATGACGCGATTCATTGGCGAAGTTAGACATATCAAATGTGAACATCGTCTACCTTCAAAATTTTAGTTGTATGTACTTCATTACTATGTATAACACTGACAAAAAACAGCTTTCGGAAATCGGCCCGAGCCCCGTCGCAGTGGTCTAGTGGCTAATGTACTCGGCTGCTGACCCGCAGGTCGTGGGATCAAATCCCGGTTGCAGCAGCTGCATTTTCGATGGAGGCGAAAATATTGTAGGCCCGTGTGTTCAGATTTGGGGGCATGTTAAAAAATCCCAGGTGGTCAAAATTTTCGGAGCCCTCCACTACGGCGTCTCTCATAATCATATGGTGGTTTTGAGACTTTACACTCCACCTATCAATCAATCAATTTGGCCCCTGTGCCCGTATTTACAAAAATCTGTGCAGTGAGAATCGGAGCAGTGTCCTTAAAAAAAAAACTGCCAGCATTCCTAACGCTTTTGAGATAACAGAAAAGCCGGCCAACCACCGATATGTCGCAAAGAAGACGGCAAGTGCAGCCTTGCTTCTCGCAGGAATACATAGATTTGAGTACTTTATTATGAACTTTATTGCTAGGCTGATGTTCATTCTCATCGAATCACGAAAAACCGGCCATCTGACTAGTTCGTATATTAGTAGTAAAAACACAGTGCCGGCATACGAAAGAACACAAGAGGACAGAACACTGGATATACTAATCGTCTCAACGCTTTTCAATTAAACTGACGGCGCCTTCTTCCTGAGAAGTCAGCACAGAATATTCTGCCACTTGAACTCGCTCACCTGAGATGCTGAGCGAGTTTCTTGGTGAAAGCTGCGGTGCACACGCTCCAGACAACAGCGCCTCGAGCAAGCCAGGAACAAGGCGTCTTTGAATAGGCCAATCTGCCTCCATGTTTGGGACCTCAGGATGCGACAAAATGGCAGGGCACGAACACGCAATGGCTTTAAAAATTCTGCCATCTACGCGACGGGTGGAGGTAGAAAAAATTGTCTGATGGCGAACGAGAGCAGCCTGGTTTTGCCCGTTGCAGGAAACAGCATAGCTGTTTGATTGTATTTTGTTGCTCTTCCGTTAGCACGCTGTCAAAAGTAGGAGCTCCACGAAGACATCAACTCGACGACGAAGTTCAGAGAAGATTGGAAACAGCTCGTGCAGCGCACTATACCACGACGCCCGAGGCAGTGAGAGCCGAGCTACGATCGGTGCGCCAGCAACGACACACCAGCGTTGTCCACGTGGGCTTACAAGAACAAGGTCGTCTCGCCAGCAAGATCATTGGTGACGGGAGCGTCAGGACTATGATTCGGCAGCCAGTGACGCCGGCGTCCCGAATGGTGGCCGCCGAAATCGAGTGGGTTTGAGCGGGGCTCAGTGCACAGCAACCGCGTACAGCAAGCGCTGACGTTCGTGGCGCAAAGCCTCTTTGAAGCAAGCCGACAAAGACAGTCCCCTGGTGGCCACGTCAGCCTGGAGCACCGGGTGTTGCCTGCCACCACTAGGCCTAAGCTCGGTAGCCTCCGCCATGTCAGCACCGACAGCAGGCTATGACGACGATTGGTGATTACGTCGGCAGTGGCACGGACGGCGACGTTCGCAGAGAACGTCGAGACAGAGATCTGACACGACCGATCAGGACATTGACTAGTGGCGTCTCAGTGCGACAAGTAAAGTTACCGTAAGCACCATGAGAAGCAGTAAGGCTGTAGAGATGTCTCACAATACTTATAGTTTAGTCTGTAAAGAAATTCGTTGGGAGGTTTACTTTGGGAGTTATTACTATTTGTTTCGTACGATTTTTGCACATATTGTTAGAGTGGCATGAGTGCCTAATAAGTGGGTCGTGTTGTTAATCGTGTCTAGTCTCAATCCATCGCCAGCAGCTGCCTGTAATCCATGAAACACGCTAACCGATTTTCTTTTAAAGGTTGAAGCAGGCTGTTTCCTAATGTAACACGCAACGACAGTTCCAACACAGGCCTGATCTGCACCTTTCAAGTCTATACGGTAGTGCAACATACCTCGCTACTGGTGTGTGTATGCACTACATAGCATGCAGTATTTAGCTGATTATACTGTGGGACCGTCCACTGGTTGCATTCTACTTAGATTCTAAAGCACGTGCTAAAACGTGGCTGACAACCTATAGGTACGCCCTATTTCACTTTTTCTCTATAGGATCAATAGAAAAGCTAACACTGACACCATGTTACTGTTTTCGCACGAGACAGTTCCTTCGTTAAGAAAGGTGCTGAACCAGATGGACAGCGGCGTGAGTAATCTCAAGCGTAACTACTGCGATAGATTCTCGAAGTTGCATAACCACCACACAGTGTTCGACAGGGTGCTACAATATCCGTACTAGCCAAATTGATCGCGTCTTGGCAGTAAGACGATCAGAAGATAAGTGCTACATTCATACGACATAAATGTGTACTATAATGTTCAAGCTGCCATTTTTCTGTGCGTGCGTGCACGCATGCACGCGTGTGTATGCGTGCTGCCTGAATGTGCGTGTGTGCGTGCTCGTATCGGCACGTGTGCTTATTCCTTATATTCTTTCAATTTCTTGTATACAGGTGAAAATACACGAAATCACATCTTGGGCATGTTTCATCTTACCGCCGTAGGGTTTCTGAAGTTAAGACACTCGTTTCCCTTTTAACCTTTACTTCTCTCTGTTGAAAAGGCCGGCATTCAAGCAAAAGAAATATACTGAATTGTATTACACTGCTCAATGTGTGAAGCCTTGTTTGAAAAAATGAAAGTAATAAACATAGATGCCTTTTTTCCCAGGTCGCTCAAGAAACCAGTGCCCAAAGGCAAGAACGAGCCTACAATATAAAGTACCAGTTTTTATGCATTATCTGCATATGGGCTTAACATGTTGCGGAATAAACAAGTACTAAACACGACCGTCCAAAAGAAATTCCCAGGTACTCATTTTAATTAAAAAAACTGTAACAAAACAGATAATTTGAACGTCGCTCGACCGCCTGCTTCTGACAGCACGAGTATTAGAAGGCTGTACACAGACATCACCTGCTGGAGCCAGCGGTACACCCGATACTTTATGTGGCTTTAACGTGGAACAAAATAAAAATACGACGTGCGTGTTTTCTGCACATAACAATTTTGAAAACGTTTTCGTGCATAGCCACGGAACTCTGGTGTTGAGCGCTCAGCAAATGTGGTCGTTAAGACAAGAAAGAAGTTCTTTCTATACTCTTGAATAACCATTCTAATAAAAAATTCTTTAAGAAAGACAGCTGCGATGCCTGAAAGAGTGGTTCTCGAAGAATCATACAAACAAGCACGCCGAAATCATGTACTCAAATATGGCGCGTTAATAACCGCGTGCCACGTGCTTCAACACACAAGTGCCTCTTTGCTTGGAATTCGCGTGAATGAGTTGTGAGTAACCCTTTTCAAATCAAAATTAAGTTACAAAAAAATTGGTAGGAATGACGCAATGCTGAAAGTTTAGGGCAAATTCACCTTATAATCGGCCAATCCCCTTCTTCGGGTACGAGCCATTTGCACAGGGAAACAACAACAACAACAACCCTAGAAGTGCTCATTTCCTGTATTCAACGGGTGTTTTGTTTCATTACTGACAAAAGGTTTTCTCTGAATACTCTTTATTTCCTATCAGCTGGCTTGCTAAAACATGCGCCTATTACCACTGAATAATAGGTTCATCTAAGAACTAAAGAGAAATGTTCTCACAAGTGGTTTTTCAGCTCACTGCTATAGCGCACATTACTTGTTCACGCTTAGGCATTCAAAATGGCGGACGTAACATAAAAATGATAAAAATGTCAATGAATGAAACTGAGATCTAACGTACGTATACACAGGAAGGGATAATGCGAGAGTAAGCTAACCAATAGTACTAGCATGATCGATATTATTGAAACACCCCGTACTCATATTACGCCAAGCTTATTCAGTTCTACGTGGCTCCTCGATAGTGCGAGAGGTAAAGTGAGCAGCCAGACAGTAGTTTATTGTTCAGCGAACACGTCATGCGTGCTTTTCCCGAAGGAGCATTAGATAGGGGGCGACGGGACGAATCGCAACGTCGTCATGGCAACGGCACCTCTCAACGCCATGCGGGATGATGACACAGACTTCGTTGACAATTTTTGTGAGCGTCTCTTCCGTCTTTCCGCATTGCACAGGTCCGCAGACGAACCCAGCCGGCGCATGCAGGTGCCCTGCAGTGAGTGATTGATGAAGGTATCGTTTTGTTTTGCCGCCTCGTCTGGCGATTCTCGTCGCTTGTATACAATGCCAGCTAGCTCGTTCTTTGTTAGAACAGTTCAACAGCGCGTCGGAGAGAAGGTGGCGCTGGTTGGTCCAGAGAAAAAGGAAGGAAAAAAGAATAATAGGCAAGAAAGATGGCGGGGCCCTCACATATGGCGGCTCCATGGAATGAACGTTGGGGCCCGACAATCGATATATTGACATACGCATTCTTGACATCTGCTCTTGGGCCAAGAATAATTTTCTTCGAGGCTGTCACAATCTTACTGTTTTTTAAACTTTTTTCAAGTGGCACAGCAAAGAGCAGAGACTGCAACACAGTACTCCCAACTCCCGCACACACACAGACTTTGCCGTCTGTAGATATATTTTATCTGTGTGGGAGTGGCAGGCTACAGTGACATTGAAAACAAACAGTAAGGTTGTTTAGTAGACTGCTGTTACCTATGAAACGGCATCTAAAGGCATGGAAACTCGCGGAATCTGGGGCAATCACTACACTGCTATTTGAAAAATACTTCCGGGAAAACGATTTGATAATGTTAGAGGTATTCCTTCTTTTTGCCTAAAATACTACAAAAGTTCTTGCGTTTTCTTATTTTGATCATTTTAGAGTTCATATCAATCTAAATTTGCTCGTTATCTAAAAACTGGACAATTTCAAGTAATTTTTTTTTCGTTTCTTACAACACACGAATCACCAACCATCCATAAAGATACGAAGACATCCTGTGAAAAAGCTGACGAATTACCCACTTCTGTATCGGAACTACATCTGCATTAAAAAAGTGAGTATACTGTTTTTTTTTTTTGCTTACGCTAAACAGACTGATAGACAAAGCGAAATATATAGACACATTATTTCTATAGTTAGCTGATCACAATTGACTCGATTACTTCGCTAATGTTAGCAGATTACAAAAAGAGAAAACAATAGGTGGTGAGGTTAACAACCGGACAGCGTAGCAAACCGGACGTATGTTCGGTTTGCTACCCTTCATCAGTGGAGAAAAAAAGAAGCGAAAAAGCGAATAGAATAGAGAGAGAGAATGACCAAGATAGATAGGGAGAGATCCGATCACGTGCACATATGGAAGAGCGACATGTAAGCTAAATTAAAGTGGCTCTCCGGAAGCCACACGAGTGAAATTATACTCTTACATACCCGTTCAAAGGAAGCGTACAAAATATTCATCGCAGTTCTCACCTGTCTATGAGCAAGGCCAAACTAGGTTTTGCGGTCCTGATTACGCCACAACTGGAGGTGAGTGAATACTTCCGACCACTTCTCGAATAATGTCAGGTCGAAGGCTTTTGTTGTACGTGACACCTGAGCCGCAGCCCATCGAAAACGGCGGCTCTTTCCCGATAAGCTGTGAAATTTCTTGGCCTGCAATAAGAAAAAAAGGTCACGAGCTAAATAAAAATCGTATCAATATCACATTTACACTAAGGCTCGTGCATCCTTATTAGCGAAACCTACAAGTCAGTGGCAAAGGACACTTAAAAGTAAAAGTTCTGCCACTGGTAAGAAAACGACTAATTCCTGTTCCAAACGTTCACGTACTCGAATATTTACTCGTGAGAGGCACTGCTTTCAGGGGCCGCTGATACACAGAGAAAGCTACCCTGGATGCGGATACATACGCTCGTAAACTATTGAGCAAGGGATGTGCCGAAATCTCTTCGTGACTTCATTAGCACTGAACGTGCTCGACGTGACCACCACCGTTATGACCCCATATATCTCTGCGTGTTGGTGCCAAACAAATAGCGCCAGTTGTGGTTGCTGCATCGGCACTATCAACGTCAGACTGACGTCCCTAGTACTTTTATAACATAGTACTTGTTATTCATGTTACACGTCCAACAAACCGAGAAGACCTACAGAAAAGTATTTCTGCAGAGAAGTGGGATTATTACGAGCACGTACTCTGACGATATCACCCACTTGCAACAAGGTTTTTTGCTTAATTTTTTATCAGCGGCTCCTATGAGATCAGTAGATTGTGCGAATTGTAAATCTCAGACACCAGCGCGAAGTATATAATCATTGCGTTTAACGATGCCGACGCGAATAGTGTTTGTAACCCTCGCAAGTTTGCTAACTTCGTGTTAAAAGAGGACTATTTTATTAGGCAAGAACCACCCAAGCTCTGCCTCAGCCGAAAAACTGCAGTGTTTGATTTTTATTCGATGCACAACAGCAATTTTCAAACACGACTTCTAAATGTTACAGTGTTTTCATTATTTAGCATCCAGCATTCTACAGAGGCTTATAATTGGTATTTGGCTTGTTTATATAACACATCTAGCAAAGCTAAAAGGGCTGTTTTCGACCAAGACGTGTCTCGATTGCTTGTGCACATGTGAGCTCAGTTTTAAGTGCTGCATGCCAGTCACAATTACAGAACCACTATACGCTGGCGCAAATTGCGTTGTTCTTTTTGCTGACTTGTTCCCAAAGTGGTTATTGGTTCGAAGTTGCCGCATTGCCGTATGTGAAAATGCTTAGACAAGATTTGAAATGTATAAAGCATTGTGTTTGATTCTCTTCAGTATTTTGCCGAAGAACCCTGATTTAGACTGCACGGATGACGATGTGACCACTGTGCATTCTCGAATGAATACGCATGCGCACTCTGTCATCCCCTTTAATGCAACTTCGCTACACAACGGCACCGAAAGGTTTGCTTTTTCATGCTTATCTTTTTAATCGTTCGTAGCCGCGCTTAGTTCACATGCTCACGTGCCTTAATAATGTTATATACGCGATATTCTTCCATTTCTCAACTTCATACACATTATTTTCACATTTCATCGGTAAAACTTTGCGCATGTCGCCACGCACATATCACTTAGAAGCCTTTTACTCCTCCACTACCCAACCCTAGCTTCCACTCACCCTCGTAAACACGGAAGAATACAGTGTTGTAGCTGATATCATTAAAAAGAGTTGCTTCTCACAAGAAGTCACGTTATTCAGTCATCTTATTCAAATGAGCTGTGTCATTAAGAGGCTACATGACCTATCAATATTTGTGTCATACAAAACTGCATAGTTCCCGTAAGTAGCTATCATATATTCACAAAAGAAATGAAGTGACATTTCAGAAGGGCCCTCAATTGAAAGATCAACTACCAAGGCATAGTCACATTGTCATGGCTTCGATGTGGAACAATGCGGGCACCCAATAACAAGAAGGGCACACTAGGCGAAAATCTTGTGCATTGAAAACCTATACATAATTCATCCCGTAATGATAATAATAGGAGACCATAATTTAAGTGAACGCCTATTTTGTTTCTTGCGCTCCTATCACCCCACTTTGATACATGAGAAACAATTTTAGTTTAAGAATAATTTTTTTTTGTTTTTTTTAGTGCCCATAACTGCCAGTTTTCGTATTCGGACCTAAATGCATAAAACTATCAATAAATGCCTATTCACCAAATTTGCGATTATATGATCACATAATGGCCTCGAATGCGCCTTCAGACGTAGTTTTAATCGTTGTTCCTGTTACCGAGCAACATTGACTCTTGGAAACTCTATGGCGTTCGGACAACTCCCGGAACCCCCCCCCCCCCAGCCGCCATATAAAGTCGGACGCATCGACCAGCCAAAATCACTTGCTGACATGGAGAGAGTACTTGGTGAATGCGAAGCCACGAAAAGCCGTACAGTGAAATGATAAACAACAAAAGAAATAAAGGTATAATGTACATGAGAACTTTGTTCTTATTTTTAAGGGGGAAAGTCCTTGTCTTTCGTTGTGGCTGCGGTATAAAACCAATGCTACTTTATTTGTTCTGTTATATACAATACGGGTGTACGGTATACCAACACTTTTTCTCTTATAACGCTCGGCAAGCATGCCCAGACTTTACATAACTTACTTTTTTGGACGTTCAATGACAAAGTCCACTCCACTACGAATATAACCAACACCTAATAGATGCTTAAACTGTGCGTTAAAACTGTCACTAATTTCGTCCTCACACTACTTGGTGACAGCAGACCTAAGACAATACATAGTGATGCCCTTTTTTACTACTTTCTAGTGCTTCGACGGAAAATGTAAAAGTGGCTTTGACGATCTAGGAGGATACTGCCAGCCTGCGTGCTTCTTCGGAAACTTTAAGGAAATGCGCGAAAAATTGTATTCCAATATTCTGAGGGAAATACTCATTAAAATTCAGCCCTCCTCAATTGAATTTATTTTTCTTGCTCATAGAGGTTATCATCGTTTGAATGTCCTCAACACTGCAAAGGACACATATCACATATCAAAAGACTTTAATAATAGAATCATCAAAGGCGCCTTTCAAGCATTTGTCAAGTTTGCTAAGGTATAAATCACTAAGAACCAGAGCAGCGATAGAACAATACTTGTTCCAGATTTTTTTCACGCAGAAGCGCCCTCCTTCCAACCTACCAATATGAACTCTAGGTACAAGTAAATAATTTCTAGAAAAGCACCTGTTGAAATACGAACCGTATTGATGAAAACCGTGTTGTTCATAATTACAGTCACTATGGGCTCATATCGCCTCCATAGCTCCTTCACCTTGACAAGTCTGTATTAAGTCCTTCCATTTTTTTTCCTTTTTGCTGATCCCTTATACTCGATTTCCTGATTCCCTGCTGAAGGGCAGCAAACAGGACGAGAGTCTGCCTGAGCTCCCTATCTTTTGTTCTTTTCGGCCTCCTCCTAGCTCTTTGTCTGCATAACATGCTGAATGGTTGGAAATCCTTGATTGCCCGAGAATTCCCGAGTGATTGCCCGAGTGATTGCCCGAGAATTCTAGCTCCCAAACAAGGTCTGTCATCAGAGCAGAAGAAAAGTGCCGCGTAAAGCGTATCGCTGACAGTTGAATTCGGATTACGCATAGAGGAGGGGAGGGGGGATTCTTCGCAGTTTTACTAAATCCTTAAGTTTGGTGTGCGGCGCTATAGATCAGGAAATAACCATTATGAACAGCTGCTCGGGGACGCAATAACCAATCCCTGGCAAAGCGCTAAAGGCGCTTAGTGACAACAAAATTAGAATGGCCAGATATGTCTCTGAATTGAGAATCCAGTGAATGCAAGCAAAAGTTGGTAAAATATGGCAAAATCTGGTGCTTTGTTTTAATTGATAGCACGTAGATAGATGTACGCGTAAAATTCTTTCCTTTCGTTGATTAGCATTCAGTTTAAACAGTAATCAGGGATTAAATCATAGCCTAACTTTTCCTAGTGTTCCTAGTGAAAAGTGTTCTGGTGAAAATAACTGCTAAGAACAGAACTGGCGTTGCTTCATTTCTAATAACAGGTATATATTTGATGAGGACAACCTCGTGCCTTGCCATGCGTGTCTCTTGTTTGAATATACACTTTGGAAAAAAATATTAGTTTACATTTCATGAACATGTTTCGTTGTGTGTCAGCACGGTGTAGCATACGAATTAAATTGTTGAGACCAGGGGTTTGCAACCTGCGACCGCCAGAAGGATATAAGAAACCTTTCCCCCAAGTTTTCCGTTGTCACTTATCCGAAGCCTGGCATGGCATTTTTGACTTGAAATGGTGTTTTCGCATGGAACATATGTTTGTAATTGGAAACCACACGACATTAACCTAATATATATACAAAATATGTACATTGTCAATTTGTCTCTTCACTAAGTTTTTTTCTCCTTGTCTAAAAAAAACACGAAGAAAGACTATGAACGGAATGTAATTAGTGGGCTTTTCTGAGGGTTTGTATGACGCAAAAAAATCATCTGCCTTCCTTGTCTCGTATTGGTGAATATGCCCCCGCAAAGCGCCGGGCGACTAATTCACGATCCATAATGCTGCCCGAACCCCTCAGCCCATGTCGCTTAGGCCTCGCTCAGGTCACCATGCACTACCGTTTTCTGGCGTGGTTTGCCTGAGAAGCATCAGCGCGCTCTCGGCCAAGGTCTTGCGTGATTTGGCTCAATCTGTACCATCTCGCGATACACGACGATCTTCGGGCACGAAGTTAACAGAGCAGTAACAAGCCGTACAGTTCACCGCGCATGCATTAGGAGACTTACTGGCGCCTGAACATTTACCCTTGAAGCTGTTGCCAGTGCCTCCTCGGATGCTTCTCAGCAGGTCATCGACGCCGGTCACTCACAAGTGGATGTTTTTGCAGTGCAACGATTGCGACGACGTGCAAGGTTTCTCCCAGATTCACCAAGTGGGCAGCCGCAGTGTTTGTCACCACTCGCACACGCGAGGGCTGATGTACGCCACACGTTTACTTGTTTATGACTTTATCCATTAAGTCTTCACTCAACGACAAAATATGTAGTTCTTCAACCAAGATTATTAGCTGCCCCGGCTGTATACTTGTTAAGGTGCTCGGCTGTCATTAG